GCTGTCTATAAAAGGGTGCTAAACTCAAAGGTTGTGAACTAAACTGAAGTGTTATAAATTACTTCATGAGTGATCATACTGACAGTTTAAACACGTCTAAACACTGAGTACTTACGTTTCACTAAGTCAAACATTGGAAATAAACTGTCCTTTCTGAAGCAATGCATCAAAGGAGTCTTATGAATGATAAAAAAATGGTTCTTTTAAAAACATTATTTTTCAAAGGCAACATATTTGGCTCTAGTCCCTCTTTTGTGGATTTATTTTACTGGACCAATAAATAAAACACATGTACACAAACATGATTTTACTATCATTTCATAGTATTTAATCAAAAAATCTTTTTTCTAGATTAATTTGCTTTGTTTTTAAGGCTTTCTCATGTAAAACATGAGCAGAATAACACACATTTACTTTTACTCTCAGAATTCCTAATTACATGTAAATGTGAATATTCTTAAATTGTCTAAAAATATTTTGAATAGATGTTAAATGCATTATTCAAATTATTTATCAGGTTGTTTTAATAGAATTTTATAGTTATGCTATATATTTTATGGATTTTTTATACAGTATTACACAAGATCAAGAAATCTAACCAATGTGGCTTTCTGACTTAAAACACTAGAAGGCAAATGAGGCTCACAAAATTATAGACAATACCAAGACTATACCAAGCACCTAGCATTGTGCCTGGCACTTAATACGTTATAAATGGGAGTTGCTGTTATTGTTGTTTTAGACAGTAGTAAGTAAAAAAAAGAAAAACATTATTCTTCAAAGATCATTAGGAGAATACAAGAGACAGAGTTTTTGGCTGTTTTTTCTAGTTCCTTTTATGGGTGAATTCTACAGAGCTTAAAATTTCACTTAGGACAGTTTTGTTGTTATTGTTCTTGTTGTTGTTTTGAGACAGAGTTTTCACTCTGTTGCCCAGGCTAGAGTGCTGTGGTGTCAGCAAGTTAAGACAGTTTTAAAACTCAGATCTCACTTCAACTTTAAGTTCTCTATAGTATTTAACACATAATATATGCTTAAACATTTATTTTTGACTATAAGGCAGAAACAGACATTAAATGTTAATTAAAATGAGAGGACAGTGTCCACTTGAAATTGAGTGGACACTCAATTCATGGACACGGGGCTCCGGGGAGTCAGGGTGCCCAAATGCTCGGAGACTTATGGAGGGGCTTGGACTTGGGGCTTCCCAGCTAGTCGGTCTATTCCCTTCCCAAGGGTTGGAGGGGTTTGGCTTGGCAAGCTCCCTGACCCCCACCACTTCTATCCTCTCTTCCTTCTCCCCTCTCCTCCTTCTTCCCTTTCTCCTCTCCATCTCCATCTTCCAACTAATAGGCCACTTCTCCAGGAGTTCCCCTCACTCTGGCAAAGTGAAAGCATCCTAATAGGCCACTGCTTGGGAGAACCTGTCCTCACCAGTGGAATTCAAAAGGCCATTCAACCCAAAGAGCCCTGGAGGCCAAAATTTGTCTACTTCAGCGAGGGACTTAGCTGGGGAATGGGGAGGAGAGGAGGTTAAGTTCCCACCTGCAGTGTATATCCTCTCTAAAGAAGGAGCCTTTCTCATCTGTAGGAAAACTCTACTCTTCCCCTAAACTATTTTTTTAAATAACAGCTTCACTGAGCTATAATTAACATACCATAAAATTCATCCCCTCTAAAGGGTACAATTCAGTGGTTTTTAGTATATCCACAGTTGTACAACCATCTCCACTAATTTCAGGACATTTTCATCAACCCAGGATACCTTCCATCCCCCAGCAATAACTGTACTTTCTATCTCTATGAATTTGCCTATTCTGGACATTTCATAAAAATAGAATCATACGTGTTCTTTTGTAATAGGCTTCTTTCACACTGCATATTTTCAAAGATCATCTATGTTGTTGTGTGTTATCAGTACTTCACTGCTTGTTTGTTATTGCTGAATAATCTATCATTGTATGGATACGCATTTTATTTAGCCATTTATCAGTTCATGGACACTTGGGTTGTCTCCAGCTATTAAGAAAATGCTGCTATGAACATTTGGGTACAAGTTTTTGTATGAACATATGCTTTCAATTCTCTTGCACATATATACCTAGGAGTGGAATTGCTGGGTCATGTAGTAACTCTATGTTAAACATTTTGAGGAACTGCCAAACTCTTTCAAAGTGGCTGCACCATTTTACAATCCCACCAGCAATATATTTGAAGGCTCCACATCCTCAGTTTCTCTGCATCCTCAAATGCATTTGTTTGTTTTTAAATTTTTTTTCAGCTTTACTGGGGTATCATTAACAAATAGGAATAGTATGTATTTAAGGTATATAACTTGATATTTTGATTTATGTATACATTATGAAATTAAGCTTTAATTAACAATTAAGCTTTAATTAACATATCCATCACCTGACATAGTTCTCATTTTCTTTCTTTCATCTTTTTTTCATGGTGAGAACACTTAAGATCTATGCTCTTAACAAATTTCAAGTATATAATACAGTACTGTTAACTGTACATGCTGTACATTAAATCTTCAGAACTCAATCATTTTGCATAACTGGAACTTTATAACCTTTAATGAACATCTCCCAATTTCCCCCTACCACCTACCTCTGCCCCTGACAGTCACCATTCCTCTCTCTGCTTCTTTGAGTTTGACATGTATAACTCCCACTTGGTACTGGCACATAACCTTTTGTATATGCTGCCAAATTTAGTTTGCTAATATTTTGCTGAGGACTTTTGTGTTTATGTTCATGAGGGTCTGTAGTTTTCTTGTAATGTTCTTTATTGGGTTTTGGTATCAAGGTAATACAAGACTCATAGAATAAACTGTGAAGTGTTCCCTTCTCTATTTTTTGGAATACTATATGAAAGACTGGTGTTAATTCTACTGTAAACATTTGGTAGAATTCACTAATGAAGCCACCTAGGCCTGGGCTTTTTTTCAAGGGGAGTTTCTTTTTATTACTAATTCATCTCTTTCCTTGCTATGGTCTATTCAGATTTTCCATTTCTACTTAAGTCAGTTTTGGTAGTATGTGACTGTCTAGGTATTTGTCCATTTCATTTAGGGTAACTAATTTGTTGGCATGCAATTGTTAATAATATTCCCTTATAACCTTTTTATTTTTGTAAGGTCAGTAGTAATGTTACTTGCATGCATGAATTTTACAATTTTAGTCTTCTCTCTTTTTTTCTTGGTCAATCTAGCTAAAGATTTGTTAATTTCGGCTGGGCACGGTGGCTCACGCCTATAATCCTGGCACTCTGGGAGGCCGAGGCAGGAGGATCGCTCAAGGTCAGGAGTTTGAAACCAACCTGAGCAAGAGTGAGACCCTGTCTCTACTAAAAATAGAAAGAAATTAATTAGCCAACTAACAATGTATAGAAAAAATTAGCTGGGCATGGTGGCACATGCCTGTAGTCCCAGCTACTTGGGAGGCTGATGCAGAAGGATTACTTAAGCCCAGGAGTTGGAGGTTGCTGTGGTCGAGGCTGACACCACTGCACTCTAGCTCGTACAACAGAGTGGGACTCTATAAAAAAAAAAAAAAAAAAAAAGATTTGTTAATTTTACTGATATTTTTTAAAGAAACAACTTTTGAGTCTGTTGTCTATTTTTCTATTCTCTATTTCATTTATTTCTGCTCTAATCTTTATTATATCCTTGCTTCTGCTTGCTTTGAGTTTAGTTGCCCTTCTTTTTCTAATTTCTTAAGGCAAAAAGTTAGGTTATTAATTCAAGATCATTCTTCTTTTTAATATAGGTGTTTACAGTTATAAATTTTCCTCTTAACACTGTTTAAGCTGCATCCCGTAAGTTTTGGTACACTGTGCTTTTGTTTTCATTTAACTCAAAGTATTTGCTAGTTTCCCTTGATTTCTTCCTTCACCCTTGATTATTTACAATTGTTCTGTTAATTTCTACTTTTTATAAATTGTCCACATTTCCTTATGTTCTTGCTTTCTAATTTCATTCCACTGTGGTCAAAGAATATATTTTGTACTATTTCAATCCTTTTAAATGTATTGAGCCTTGTTTTATGACCTAGCATATGGTCTGTTCTAGACAATGTTCCCTGTGCCTTTGAGAAGGATGTACATTCTGCTATTTTGGGATGGAGTGTCTCATAGACATCTTTTAGTTCTAGTTAGTTTACAGTGTTGTTAAAGTCTTATATTTCCTGTTCATCTTCTGTCTTGTTATGTCCATCACTGAGAATGAGGTATTGAAATCTCCAACTATTATTGTTGAACTGTCTATTTTTCCCTTCAATTCTGCCAGTTTTTGCTTCATATATTTTAGGGTTCTGTTACTAGGTGCATATATGTTTATGACTGTTATGAATTCCAGACAAATGGGCCCTTTTATCATAAAATATTCTTCCTTGTGTCTATTAATTTTTGTTGTAAGGTCTATTTTATCAAATATTACTATACTCATTTCCCTTCTTTTTTGGCTACTGTTTGTATGGTATATAATTTTTCTTCCTTTTACTTTCAACCTATTTGTGTCTTTGAATCTATCTAATATGCCACTTATAATACAGCATATGGTTGGATCATGTATTTTTTCATTCTGCCTATCTCTACCATTTGATTGAAGTGTTTAATCCACTTATGTTTAATTACCATTTTGCTATTTGTTTTCTATGTCTTGTGTCTTTTTTGGCCCTATTCCTTCATTACTGCCTTCTTATGTGTTAAAAAGATATTTTCTAATGTAGCATTTCAATTCCTTTCTTTCTTTTACTTCTTTTATTTTATATTTTTTTAGTTATTTTCTTGGTCGTTACCCTGGAGATTACAATTAACATCTTAACTTGCAACTATGGATCTTATTGTGCTTGAAGTTTTTACTTGAAATTTGAATAATCTAGTCAAAATTAAGTTCAGAAAAATAAAAAGGAGCTCTTCAATTCACAAATACTATTTAGGTACATAGTAGGAGTTTCTTATTATAATAAGCAGCTATCTCTATGAATACTTACCTTATCTAATAATACATTCTGCCACAACCTAAAGATACTGAGGTAACTTCTATCCCTGGCACCAAAAGATGTAAAGAAAAACTGCAAAGAAAAATAATAGGACAATTTTAGTGTCATGGAAAATAAGGGGAAAGTAGCTGTCATGAAGGTCTGCAGGGGTTTATATGGTCAAAGCAAACTAGTGGGTTAACACTGCCTACTTATATACTATTTCTACTTTACTTTTTGCTATAACAGAAGAAAGATAATTCTTGTGTGAATAAGGTATCTTTAAAAATCATATCTTACAACAAATGGTATCTTATAACAAATGCAATTTTGTCATTATATACTAGAAAAAGGGTCTTGAAATAGGTAGCTATTTATATTCATTGTTAAACTGTTAAAATCAATCTAAATAAAATTATGAAAAAAAAATTTATTTTATTCTGAACTTTGCAAAGAGATATGAATTGGTTACCATTTGAGCCAAGTATACACAAAGAATAATAAAAAATACACATGGATTTCAGAGATAGATTTATTTTAAGAATCTTAATTTTAAATTATATTAGCTTTCAAAGTCTTCTAAAAACTCCAGTAATACATAATTTCTGCTAATTATAGATACAAGTCACCCATATTAACACTGAACATTTCTTTGAATGTTATAGAAGAAAAGTAGCATGTTTCAATCTATAAGTCTATGTTTACATTTAATTGATTTTTGTAAAGTCATATTTTAAAATAGGCTTTTATGAAAAAATGTAACAAGAGGAAGCCCTAAATACAGTCTGTCAGTGTTTCATCTCTTCCACACCCTAGTTAGTGACCTTTCATGACTGAGTAGTTTCCTTTACAAAGGAGGAAATTCAGTTCTATGCTAAATGTACTAAGATGTAAAAAAAAAAAAATTATATTTTCGGTGTTAATGCTTTTCGTACAAAGATTTTAAAGTGCTATTTTTCAATTCATTAAATTAAAACCTTGCTATATAATTCTTTATAAGCAAACGTTTTACAAAGAGGATATAATCCAGGAGCTCTTCCAAACAGAATTCTATACATAATATGTGACCTAACGATCACGACTTATACCTATTTCTTTTTCTTAGGCCAAATTTTTTTGCCTAATTGTCATAATCTTACAACTTTGTGTTCAGATATATAGATTTTTAAAATCTCTTCATCTACCTCATTTTCACCACTGTGTTATGCTTGCTACTTCCGGCTTCTTAAACTAAATACCTTGTTATTAACTTCATCCAGTCTCCTACACAACCACCACATTATCAACTCCCTAAAACTCCAAAATTTTTGGATAATCTATGTAAATTACCACCTTCCCTTATTCTTTGCTCAATAACTATCTTCAAAAATGTCTTAATAAATCTTGATCCAATAATAGCCTTCTTAATTTGGGAAGGAGTTCTACATAATGATATCTCTAAGCAGTTAGAACAGAACATATTCTAGAACCTGAAACAACTACGAGTACCATGATTAACCTCCCTTTAGTCATAGAATACATAAAAGGGATAAATATTTAGCAGTACAAAGTTTTCCCCATGATTATGAAGAAAGAAATCATGGAGTTAACATACTGAGGAAGTTAAGACCAGGGTCTCTGCAATTAAACTGCCAGGGTTCATGTTCTGGCTTTACCACTTATTAGTTCTGTGATTTGGGTCATTTCTCTTTTCTTAAATTTCATTACCTTCGCCGGGCGCGGTGGCTCATGCCTGTAATCCTAGCACTCTGGGAGGCCGAGGCGGGCGGAGTGCTCGAGTTCAGGAGTTCGAAACCAGCCTGAGCAAGAGCGAGACCCCGTCTCTACTATAAATAGAAAGAAATTAATTGGCCAACTAATATATATAGAAAAAATTAGCCGGGCATGGTGGCACATGCCTATAGTCCCAGCTACTTGGGAGGCTGAGGCAGAAGGATCACTTGAGCCCAGGAGTTTGAGGTTGCTGTGAGCTAGGCTGATGCCACAGCACTCACTCTAGCCTGGGCAACAAAATGAGACTCTGTCTCAAAAAAAAAAAAATTTCATTACCTTCAAAATGGGAATTACAGTAGCAGATTTTTGTAAGAATTAAATGAGAAAATATATATAAGAGTTTAAAATAGCATCTAGAACACAGTAAGTGTTCAGTAAATGCTAGTTGTTATTATCATTATTAAAATCAAAATTCTTGACCCTGAAATTCCATTATATATGTGAGAAACAGTCACATATGAGCTTAAGAAGGCAAGGTCAGGCTGTTTATTGCAGCATTACCTAATAACAAAACATTAGAAATAACCTAACGGTCAAGGAAACCATGGTAAATCCATTCTATGAAATATTATACATACTTTAAAGAACAGAGAGGTAGGCCTATCTATATGTGCTGACCTGCAGCTCCAAGACATAATGCTATTTTTTCAAAAAGGAGAGCTGATGAACACCACATATAAAAGTACATTTACTTTTGTAAAAAAAGATTAAAACTATATGTTTATATATATGCATACATGGATGTAAATACAAATGAAGAAGGTCTGAAAAGATATATACCAAACTCATAATAGCATTTGCCTTTAGATAGAAAAACAAGTTGAGGTTTATGGGCATGGAATGAGGATGTTAGTTTTAGAATTGTTTGATGATTTTGTTAAACAATGAAATGTATGAATTGTAAAATTAAGAATAAGCATATTTTACTTCTCCTTTCCTTCCTGATCTGTTCAGCCCTAAACCAGTTGTTGGAACAGAGAAAAGTTGGCTTCCGTTTTAGGGGTACAGTTAGGGGCAGAGAAGCTGCAGTAGCCCAAAGCAGGGTGTCAGAACCAGAAAGGAATGAAGAGAAATATTGCCCCGCAATGGAGCGTCAGAACCCAAGTTAGTAAGAAGAGCTGCCACATACGAAGGTGACATGACAGGCAGTATTAGAAGAAGAATGGGGTGAAAAAATTATGTGGGAGAGGCACGAGTCAAAGCCCAAGGAGGGTGACCATGTAAAGAGGACACACCACGGCATGGGGTGTCAAAGCTCAAACATGGGAAGAGTGTGACCATGAATGAGGGCAGCCTACAAAGGCATGTCAGAGCCACACCAGGTGAGGGCAGCAAGGTGTGAAAGAGTCCGTGAGAGTGGTCTTGTGTTGGGGTATCAGAGTCTGAACAGGGTGGGGGCAGTGACCACACCTAGTGATAGACTGGCACAGAATGTTAGAACAGAAGCAGGGACTGGAGGATGTCTCTATAGAGGGCTACCTGGTGCAGGGTAAAATGAACATGGAAGGGGCTTAGGGTGGTAGGGTGGGGTGTTAGCCCAGGGAGGGTGAAGAGTTTTTACATGGTGAAAAAAAGCTTTTAGTTCATGGTGGGATGGGCAGCAGAAGCAAAGCTGGATAAAAGGGCATCCATGTTGGGTAGGGGTGGCAGCAGAGATTAATATTGGTCATACAGGCCAAATAAGTAACTAGATTGAGGGTAATGGGGGAACCTTGTTTCTCATTGCCAGAGAAAGGAATTATAAATATGGAAAAAGAGAAAATAAAAATGAATTCTGTAGTGTTGGATTAGAATTGAAAGTATTGGTATGAATTCATGATTTGGGATGGTTGGGAGGATGATTTGATAGATAAACAGAGTATACATTATGTATATGGATGTGTGATTACATATAATATATACCCTTGTTCTGTTCACTTAGAGGGTTTGGAAATAGTGACACCCCAAAAGCCATGAACATATTGTCTTCTAAATATCAATTTCCCCTAAAAGAAACCAGGACTCCTTGGAGAAGTGGCCTATTCCAGAGCTGGGGCAAGGAAAGCCTGAAACATCTTATATAAAAAAGCACACACTGAGAATAGTCAAAAGGACACTGGAGCCAGCTTGAAGGAAAAATTTGGAACAATTTGAGCAACAAAATAAAGATAGTAATGGATTAAAAATCACTGACTAAAATAAGAAACCATGAGTTCATATTGATATAAGTAAATGAATGAATAAATTTAAAGTTTGGTTAGAATGTTGTATTTATACAGTATCAAAGGACCTTATCACAAAATACTTATTATTACAAAGAAAATAGACTAACTTTAGAGTAAAGCCTGCAGGTGCCACTTTAATCAAATGACCAAAGTAAATATCATCAGTAATGGAAAATGAAATCATGTGCCATCTGATAGGATGCAATGGAAAGGACAAAATATCACTTCCATATACTTCTTCCAAAAGTACAACACCTAAATTTAATCACAAGGAAACATCAGATTAACAAAATTGAGGGATATCCTACAAAATAACTGATCCATAATCTTTAAAAGTATCAAAGGCGTAAAGTCAAGAAAGGTTTAAGGAATTCTTCCAAGAAATTAGAGAGCATGATAACTAAATATAATGTGTAATTCTGAATTGAGTCTATTTGCTATAAATAATAATATTGGGATAACTGTGGAAATTGGAAGGGGTCTAAGGATTGAAAAATGGTTAGAGATCAATGTTAACTTCTTGATTTTGAAGGTTATATTGTATTTTTTTAGGAGAATGGCTGTGTTGGATGGAAATACATGCTAGAATATCTAGGGTGATGAGGGATAAGGGTCAGAATTTACTCTCAATAGTTCAGAGGGAGAAGGTCTTTGTATGACACTTGTAAGTGTTCTACATAGATGAGATTGTTTAAAAATAAAAACAGCCAACCATGTGCAACATGCCAGTGGTCCTAGCTACTCAAGAGGACTGCTGGAGCACAGGAGTTCAAGGCCAGCCTTGGCAACATAACAAGACCTGTCTCTAAAAAAAATAAAATAAAAATAAAAATTAAAGTGCATTCAAAAGAAACTTTATAAGATTAAAAAGTATAATTATAAAAATTTAATGTCATGGTACTGTTTCTCTCTCTCCCTTTCTCCTGTTCTTTTTTCTCTTTCCTTTTTTTATTTCCTTCCCTTCCTGCTTCCTTCTTTCTTTTTCTTTCTCAGCACTATGCTTCTAATGTTACACACAGAGCCCTAATCAATTTCTCGGGTACAGAAATATTCTTCATATATCTCCACTAAGAAATGGCAGATATTATAGGTAAATAACAAAAATGATGACAATTAAAGATAACTACCGCTCTAAAAATATTATGATTATGTGTTTATTGGTATGCTACCCAAATCTCTGTCCACCAGAACCATTTGTTTTTATTACTTGCTATTGTGCAAATTCTATTACTAGTAAATAATAATAGAATTATTAGAATATTTAAAAATAATAAGGACATTTTGCTAATGTTTACCCTACCTACCTCTTATAATGAAGAAATGAAAAATGTGAGTGAAAGTTCTTCGTAAACTATAAAGCACAAAAAGTCAGCAGTCATTTAAATTTTATCACTAATAACCATTCATGCATACAGAAATCTAGTATTAAATACATTATATCTCTATCAGATATTCCTAACTCCAAGAAGAATTGCCTATATTCCCAACATTGATGTTTGGTGTGAGGTAGATTTTCTTCACATTAAGAAATATGACAAAGGTAGAAAAGTTTTTCACCTTTTCACCCTCTGTAATGATCTGGATAGCATTTGGGATGAGTCGAGCAGTTTTCTCCTTGGTCATGAAGGTTATATTCTTTAAAGCAATAGAAATCTAAATACATAAAAGAATAAAAAAGAAACTGTATTTTTCAGACACATATATAACACAAAATGCCAAGTACTACTTCAATCTAATCCGGAATATTCCATTGAAAAACCTGAAGGAGTTAATAGTCACATGGTTGATCTCTCTGGGAAAAGCAGGGCAAGCAGTCAGACATTCTCTTTTTCAGTGCTCTCCCCCATCAGCTCCTATATCTAACATTAAAACAAAGTGTGAAAAGACACGTGGGTGTTCATGTTCCACATTAACACACAAACACACAAACAAAATTCAGACAGTCTGTCACATAAGACATGGTTTTTGGCAGCCAACAGATATATGTTCAAGTTTTTTTCAACCTGAAATTTCTTTCTCTAACTATATTAAATAAGTACAAATGAAGCTCAATGTATTCATTTAGAAAAATATATTACAAACTTACACAAACAACATGTAAATGTATTTATGCATATATAAGTATAGATGCACAAATATAACATAAATTTACTTTGGAATTATCTAAAATACATTGTTTTTAGAAGAACTGTATATACTTATATTTGTATCAACAAATCAAATGCAAAATATGTCTTACTGTCGTTTCCCATCTGAAGATGTTGCTATAGAAACACAGCCAGTTTTCTGAAAGGTATAGTCGCCCCTGAAGCAAAATGTCCCTCTGAAGAGCACAAGCATAATCTATATAAACAAAAAATGAGAAACAGCTTATTCACAAAAATCTGGCAACTTGAATTAACAGTATACTATTTCAACACATGGAAAGTCATCACTTTTTGCTCCCTAGTTTGTTCATTCATTCATTCATATACTTTGGACACCATACACCAGATGTTTTGCTGTACACTAGGATTAGCAGAAATGGCTCTTGCCCTCATGGACCCAGCATAGTGGGAAAGCAAAAAATAAACAAATAAATACAAAAATAAGTATGATAATAACCAAAGTGTGGGAAAAGCTGTAAGAACCTATAACAAGGGCTCTGCAGGTACAGAGGGCAGGGTAGAAAGAAAGTACACCAGGAAGGATTCCACTGAAAAAGTGGTCTTTAAGACCTACAGATCAATAAAGGGTCAGCAGGCTCATCAGGGCACATGCAAAGGCCCTTTGGTAGAAAAAAACAGAGCACACTGGAGGAACTCTAAGAAGACAGATCTCTGGGCTGCAGAAGCTGGTTCACGTATGGTCTCACAGGCCACGGTAGACTGTGGACTTCATGAGAAGCCACTGATGAACTTTCCATGGAAGGGACAGGATGGGATGTGTATTATTAAAGACCACTTTATTCACATTGAGAATAGATTCTGATAAATCAGCTGGAAGGCCAGGGAAAAGCTAATGGTGGCTCAGACTAGGAGGTGACAATATTAAGATACAGAGTAGTAAGATTCAGAGATATTCAGATGATAGCACTGATGGAGAACTGGTGATTGATTAGATGCTGAACAAGGGAAAGGGAGGGGTCAAAGATGACTCGGAAAACTATACATTTTAAGTCAGTTTCAAAGTTGATCCTCTCCACCTCATCACTGAAACTCAGCAAATCAAGAGTCTGCCTACCAAATAAGTTAACACCCTAACACCATGCCTCCAAGGTTAAGATCTGGCTCTGTGGCCAGTATAAGCTATAATGCCAAATTATCAGTAATGCAAGATATAAAGGGCTGCTGTGAGGAGATTTAGTTTAACTGCTAAATTTTAAAACTCTATAAAGTAATTAACAATTTTAGGTACATAGATTTAGTCATATTAAATGTCTAAGAAAACACTAAAAACTGAGCAAAGTAATTCAGTCTTTCACAATGCTTCCTTCAGCAAAACCAAACCGAGATGCCACAAAACAAAAATTCCTAGTGAATAATTAAGCAGATTAAGCTACTCATTAACTAGTATGCATCTTTAAAGCAGAGATTAGGCTAAAGGTCACTTTAAGGGTTCCTGAAATTTTTGTCTAAATTATCAAAATGTTCTATCAATTCAATGCTTCTCAAACTTCTGTTCAGAAATACCTGGCAGACTTATTAAAACACAGATTGCAAGGCCTCTCCCTCAAGAGTTTCAAATTAAATAGGTCTGGGGTGAGGTCAAGAGTTTGCATGTCTAACAAACTCTCAGGTGATGCTAGTGTTGCTAGTCTGTGAACCACTCTTTGACACTTTGAAAACCACTGCATTATTTGTACATTAACTTTGTACATTAACCATATACAAAGCTATAGTAACCACCTAGATTATTTAACTGAAGACTATTTGATATACATTGGCAGACTTTTTTCAGTGGTTTTAAAAATGGTGTCCCTAAAATGGGTGTGTTTTATTATAATAAATTTATTTATTTATTTATTTTTTTGAGACACAGTCTCGCTTTGTTGCTCAGGCTAGATGAGTGCCGTGGCATCAGCCTAGCTCACAGCAACCTCAAACTCCTGGGCTCAAGCAATCCTTCTGCCTCAGCCTCCCAAGTAGCATGCGCCACACCATGCCCCCAGCTAATTTTTTCTACATATATTAGTTGGCCAATTAATTTCTTTCTATTTATAGTAGAGATGGGGTCTCATTCTTGCTCAGGCTGGTTTCGAACTCCCGACCTCAAGCAATCCACCTCAGCTTCCCAGAGTGCTAGGATTACAGGCATGAGCCACTGTGCCCGGCCTATAATAAATTTATACCTCAGTAAAATTGATTTTTTCAAAAATGGCTTCCTGGCAATGTGTACTATGTAAGAAATAGAACATTTTTTTTAAAAAAGCAAAGGAATTTTACTCTATATTTTGCTCCCAATTTACCTACTGATAAACAAACATGTACCATAATAATAATCAGCATTTCAGGATACAGTATACTGATTTGAATTATATTAAAAATCTGATTTGTTTAGAATAGAATAAGAAAATAATGTTAATAAAAATTGTTTTGTGGATTTTATAACTTTATAATAAGCTACTAAAAAGTCAGAGTTAAAATTAAAGAAATTAACCAGGTAACTTTGGTCCCTTTGATGCGTGCATTAACATAAACTTACTAGCCGTTTAACATGATCAATTTTTGGTACAAGTGAATGACCCCTAACTCCTAAAGATGTATTTTAGTAACTAAAACATACAAGGGATACAGAACAAAGCACTATGGGAAGATAGGTGGAGGGAGTCGGTACCATATACTTCTACAGTAAGCTTGCACAGTAAGTAGTATATATGTATTTACATAAACAAGATGTACTATCTTGTTTTAACCAAGAATATAGGCATTCTACCCATAGAGAAGTGACACTAAATTAAGAGAACATGTTTTTTTAAACAATCATGTCAGAAAATACATATCCTAAAATATTCTTTTCTAGCAGCCATCATCTTTGGGAGCCCAATAATGCTGACACTGATTACAAAAATAAAAAAGATGCTTTGGAATGACATTTTTAGAATTGCTTTCAGATTTAATAATTAAATTACAAGAGATAACCATTCTCTTTTTTATACTTTATGTTGTTTTTTGTTATTTTGTTTGCTTCTTACCTGAAACAACTGTAAGATTAAATGCAAATCAAAAAAGAAAAAAATTAATTTTCCCTGACGTGAAAATAGAAAGAGACATCTCCTCTCCCTTTTCTTAGAGCACTTTCTTTAGAAAACTTGTAAATTCTTACTCTACCTCTTTGAGATGTATCTGAATCTTTTTAAAAGTTATATAGGCCTTTCATTAGTTTTGCAACAGAGGGATGTTTTCTCAAGGACCTGGGAGCCATCTCTTTGAAATGTAAATATCAAGGGAATTAACTCCCCAATCTCCCAATTTCTCTGAGAATGTAGGAGCCTAACTTTGGTGGGTGTCTTGCTCTAAATTACAAAACTACCTCTTATCATAAAGATCTGAGCTTCTTTTTCCTTTGGATTAAGCCAATTAATTAACACTGATGGTCAATTACCAGGTCAATTCTGGATGAACTGGCACCATATGTGTGACAAATGGTGACAGTCAGGTCCTCTTATTTGAAGAGTAGTTATCATTCTTTTGTATGTAATGGGTTGTATCTGTTTGGCTATATAACAGGGTGAGATTTCTTTCTGTCTTCACTATCTCTTTTGTAGATTGCCTATGATGCACATTACATTCTGGTTTAATGCTTAATCGATAATAATCTGTTTTCTTTCTCTTCTACTTTTGTGGAGAGATTTTTTGGGTTGGTAGGAGATTTTATATTTAATTATATCCCCCAATTCAACATTATCCAGCTTGTACATCCACCTTGTTCATTTAGGTAATCAGAGCAGTTAAAAAATGTGAGCAGTGACGTCTCTAAAAAAGTATACTTTTTAGTGTACCCAAGCCGAACACTTTCAAAGGGATAAACAAGTGTGAATTTGGAAGTGTGAATTCTGTTATTTTAGTAAAAAATCAGTACACAGAAATTCTAGTCCAAGTTGAGAGGAATACTAGACATGTATTTATTTCCCCCTCCTTCTCAAAAAATGTTTTGAGGTGACAGAGAAGACATATAAGAAATTAAGTTCATAACAATGATAAGGGATAGGTATAAAAATAACTACATTAGCAGATTGAAAGCTTTGATAAATATTTGAAAGACAGAAAGTGTATAGTAATGGAAAAAGTAGAGTGTGGAGAAAGCCTGAGCTCAAAAAATATACAGGTAAAGTCTGCAGCAGAGTGTCCCACATCTGGACACTGAGAATAAGCAAAGACTATACACTTAGAATCAGCAGGTACAAGGAGGGATGATAGAATAGAGACAGATACCAGTACCTGACTGATAGGCTTCCTGTGGTAGAGGTCAGCCACACAGCACCTCCTCTAACACAGTGCCAGTATTTACCTCCAAGCTCTAACGTAAGAAAAAAGTAAAATGTTAGCATAGCTCTAGGAAAGGCTACAATTCCTAATATAAATATTGGTGTCCCAGAGCAAAGGTCTCATTTTGGCATTTAAGGTTAGGTATGGAAATCTGCCTTCTCTCTGTACAAAGTGCAGGTCTGTGAGTCAACACGCCTCCTTTCCACTTTCCCACACAGACAGGAGAGTGTTCTCTTGGGTACACAGAGGTATATGTAAACAGAGGTAACTCACTCCAACTTTTAATCAATTAAGTCTTTCATTCATGTAAATGGACAACCATAAGACTGTATAATTCATAGTCTCTGATACACATGCCTTCTCCTGCCATCCCCCACCCCACCCTCCCACCATTGCGACCCAGTCTCCACTCATTTCAGGTTAAAACAACCCCCAAGAACAAATTAGAAAAAGTTTACTATTTTCCTATTGTATAATTAGGGACCATCTATTCCTTGAAAGTTGAATAAAATTATTTGTAAAAACATGTGGGTACAGGTCTTTTTGTTAGGTAGAGTTTTGTGTAATAATTTCTTTTTAAGGATTATAGATTCTTTAAGTAACACACTATGCTCCTCTTAGTGCATTTTAATATATTCCAGCCCAATTTCCAACTACCAGCATTTCAATCAAAGACTTTCTCTCTCCATCAAAGCCTCACTCTGCCCATACTCATCGTAGAACAGAAGTTTTGGGGAATTAATGTATCTCCATTAATACCATATTTCTAAAAGAATTGCTGAGTCAGATGTATTTTTTAATACATATTTCTTCGGCCAAGATTAAGAGAGAAAAAAGAGAAGGCATAAATAAATATTAGGAATGAAAAAGTAGATA